GACACATGTGAATTGGTGACCCACAGTTAGTTGAAAACATGTAAAAATGTATAGACAGGTGGATTGAGGCCCCCATTGTGATTATGAGTCCTTGAAGGAGTGTGTATGCGTTAATGAGAATGCTTAGAGAGAATTGACATGTAAGTATAACCACACTATTAAGTCTAGCCACCTGCTTGTCTTGGACCTAGAATTCGTAATAGAACCTTAATGATTGAATCAAGGAAAGCAAATGTTTGCAAAAATCTAACATCTTTTCAATCATGAGTAATAAATTAACTAGGTGGATAAAATTGAGAATTCAAAGAAAGAGATAAGAATAGTGAGCTAGGGACCTTTAGCGGATGTGCTTGAAAGCATTGGAATAAGTATATGTCAATTTCTTGTGAAAATTGTCTGAATAGTTGAACATGGAATGTTGACTCTGGATTTAAACCAACGCTTGAGTTGATGTGAAATGAGATGGGATATTAATCCTTATTTGAATTGGCACCTGTGTGCGTGATATAGAGATTGAGCTTCAAAGAGAAATGAACTATTCAAAAGGCAATGGGTATGGATACCTCTCCCTTGTGAAGGAAGTCACGAAGTTATTTTATAATTGTTGTTGGTGAAAGATAAGGAGGACCTCAACGTTTAGGGGATTTTATGGAGTTGGGTGACTTACCAATAGCCCTATGAGTGTCCTAAGCCATGGAACTCTGCCTGAGAGTCTCCACGCAATGCTCCTTTATCCTAACCTTCTCCTGAAGCTTATCATGTTGGTCGAGCTAGATTAGTCGGTGAAAGTTTGAGTCCCCACCAAACATGCAAAATGTTGGCTGGCTAGTGAAACTCCCAACAACTTCCGATGATAGGAATGGATTCAAGAGTCACATGTGTAATGCCCCAAATTTTGTAATATTAATTGTTATATATATATATATATATATATATATATATATATGTTAATGTGAATGGATAAATATGCGATTTTAAGAGTATGTATGTAGGTATATATATTTGTATGTGTACTGAGAAAGTTAGGCTGTGGCTGATGTGTTGATGAAAATTTGGTTAAGTGTCTGGTACAGGGTATTCTCGCTGTAGCGAGAGGAGCCTCGCAGTAGCGAGAAGGCCCTGGGAGAAAGGCGTGAAACTATCACTTTCTCATTGTAGCGAGAGAGTGACAGTTTGGTGTGCAATTCTGGGAGCAGTCTCGCTGTAGCGAGAGGGTCTCGCTGTAGCGAGAGGGTCTCGCTGTAGCGAGAGGGTCTCGCTGTAGCGAGATTTTGTAGAAAACAGAGTGCAATTTCCTCTGACATTTTCGCTGTAGCGACAAGAGGTGTCAGTGCAACGAGAGTGTCTCGTTGTAGCGAGAGTGTCGCGATCAGAGTGGTATTTAAAAGGGTTAGAGTTTGGAAAATTCATTTCCCATTCCTATCTTTAAAATCCTTTCGATTCTCTCGACCTAAAACCCTATTTCACTTATTAAATTGCCTCCAAAGTCGTTCGTGAGCTAGATTGAAGGTTGGATTCGTGTTGGGAACGCTTGGAGATGAGTTTTAATGGATTGAGTTTCAGTTTTTCATCCCTATTTTCTGTTTTCTCGATTTCCCTTGGTTCTCATGGGATTCTTCCATGTATTTAAAACTAAGTTTGTGTGGGGAGCTTTCTCATTGTTGATTTCATGTGTGGGTCTTCAATCCGCGGTAAGGGGGACTGTACCCTATCTCATTGTGTTTTGATTTTTGTTTATTTTACTAAATATTGCAATGTGGCTGAGATAGAGGGTAGAAAATGTGGGTTCATGGAAATTATTGTGTTTGAATACAATGTGATGTGTGATAAGATGGTTGAACCCATTGAGGGTGAATGTGTGTTGTGATAGGCCGTTAATTAATAAGGATTCAATGTTTAAGAATGAATGTGGGCCTGAGTGCCATATGCAGTTATGAGTATTGTGTTCAATTGAAATGTGTGTGAATGAGACATGTTATATGCGGTTGTGAATATGCTATGAATAGTTCAGCGATACACTAGAGGTGTGAAAGATGTATATGGTAGAAATACCTTGGGAAAGAGAGAGTGGTGGTGACACTAGCAGTGAGCGTGGGTGTACCATAGGCCACACACTTTCCTCCTGACTAGACCTCTGACCAACACCTTTGCCGAGCGACTCGTGACTGCCCACGTGGTATCCGTGAGGTGGGGGTGACCGGCGACCATCCATGGTGTGAGTCTATGATCACATTGCCACAGTGAGCGTGGCTACATGTATGTGAAATGTTTTGGTGCCGTGAGTGCATCAGTTATGAATTGAAATGAAATGCTTGAAAGTGTTGTGATGACCATCTTGGACTTTTCTAACTCTAAATTGAGCTCCCTTTTAAATAAGACAGCAACAATCTTTTCTAAGTCTCCATTTATTCTTTTTGCCCTTGCCCTTGTCATTGTCTTCAATGGGCCTTCAAGTCTTTGTCTTCAATGGGCCTTCCTTGATTCTCATCATGTTGCCTGTGATTGCCTATACTTGAGTAGAATATGTTAGAATACATGTGGGTGTGCAAGGTGAGTCTTTATGTTGTTTGTGTGATGGATAGTGTAGAGTATTCACCCTTACATTTGTTTTTCAAGTGACCAAGACGATCAGCACCAGGTTTAGTGAAGAGATGGATGAAACTGCTATAGGACTAGAAATTTATTCAAACTTTGATGTAATTGAATTAGTTCTGTAGCGTGATTTGATGCAAGTTGTAGTCATCCTTATTTTGAAATATTTTAATGAACTATTTATGGAAAAAAAAACTATTTTAATGAAATTTTATTTTTCTCCCATTTTGTGAAATTTGATATTTGATGAAATTAAATTTAAGGCGTTACAATTTAGTATCAGAGCAGTTCATCCAAATCGGACTAGGGTATCGGGCTGAAGCATCCAAGCTGAATGTTGATTTGTTTTGTTTGCCTGAATTATAAATGTGTTATTGGTCTAATGTGCTGGAATGTGGTTTGCTGAATTATTGTTAGCTTAGATTGAATATGGCTAGTAGAGGTAGAGGAGCTAGAGGCACCAATGATCTCATGGAGTGTATGACTCAAATTTTGGAAACCTTGGCGCATAACCAAGGCAAAGAGCTGGCTAAATACCGAGAGTTGTCTACCTTCACTAAGTATGACCCTCCAAAGTTTGAGGAAGGATTTGATCCGGAGGGAGCCCAGAGGTGGTTGGCTAGTGTGCAGAAGATCTTCAACGCCATAGGGTGCCGCGAGGAGCACAAGGTGAACTACGCCATCTACATGCTGTCTGGGGAGGCAGAAGGTTGGTGGAGGTTTGTCGGTCAGACGTTGCCACAAGTGGGTGGCTACATTCATTGAGAGACCTTTAAGGCGATCTTCCTAGGGAATTACTTTCCCCGGGATTTAAAGAAGCAGAGAGCCAGAAAGTTCCTTGAGTTGAAGCAAGAAAGCATGACGATTGGAGAATATGCTGCAAAATTCTAAGAGATGTTGAAGTACTGGCCTCACTATCAACATAAGGATGGAGAGGAGGATTTGTGTGCTCAATTTGAGCATGGACTGAGGCCAGACATCTGAGCTGCAGTCAGTGTGTTTCAACTGACGGATTTGTCCACTCTGGTGAGCAAGAGCAGGATCTTTGAAGCCAATCCAAAGGGAAAAATAGTGGACACTAGGGGAGCTAGTGCAATGCGGCAAGATAGAAGACCCCCTAGATTCTTCAAGGGACCATATTTGAGCTCCAGTCACTCACAATCCAGAGGGACTTCATCTTAGGAGAGAAGTAGTGGTACTCGCTCTGGTTCACGATCTGACTCTTTCAGAGGGCTGATCAAATGCTTTAGGTGTGGAGGGCCACACATAGTGAGGGATTACCCATAACCATGGACAACTTGTAGCAACTGTGGGAAGTCGAGGCACATTGCCAATGTGTGCTGGACCTCTAAGAGGAGTAGCAGTGCTAGTACAACCCAGAGAGGTTTGAATCAAGAAGGAGTACGGGGTCGAAGCCTAGCATTCATAGTAGGGTCTTTGCCATGAGTGGGGCAGAGGCTTCAAAGTCTAAGGAACTGATCAGAGGTAAATGCATTATTAAGGGTCGACTGTTGGATGTGTTGCTTGATCCGGGTGCTATGCACTCTTTTGTATCCGTGAATTGTATGAAGAGTCTAAATTTATGTGTGACTGAATTACCATGTAATGTTGTGATGACTACCCCAACAGGTAAGCCAGCATAACATCGTGGGTGTGTTTGGGGTGTTCGGTAATGGTGCATGGTAGGGAGTTTGAGGTGGACCTGATCTATTTGCCTCTTTCCCAACTAGATGTAATTTTGGGATAGATTGGTTGGCTGCCAACCATGTACTGCTAGATTGTAGAGAGAAGACCTTGATCTTCAGTGTGACAATGGCAGAGGTTCCAAGGCTTATGAGCTAGGGAGCGTGGGAGAACACAGTGAATGCCATGGCCTTCATGATTATGTTCTCAATGGAGGCCGAAAGCGTGATGGAGCCAGAGTACATCCCAATGGTGAGGGATTTCTTAGAAGTTTTCCCAGAAGATGTTTTAGAGTTATCGCCTGAGAGGAAAATAGAGTTTGTTATTGACCATATTATGAGGGCCAGCCCAATTTTTGTGGCACCATATAGGATGTCAACGATGGAGTTGGCGGAGGTCAAGAAACAAGTAGAGGATTTGTTGCAAAAACAGTTTGTAAGATTGAGTGTGTCACTGTGGGGAGCACCAGTACTCTTGGTAAAGAAGAAAGATGGGAGCATGAGGATGTGTGTAGATTACCGGCAGCTGAACAAGGTAACGATAAAGAACAAGTATCCACTTCTGAGAATCGATGATTTAATGGACCAATTAAGGGAAGCTGCAGTGTTCTCGAAGAATGACTTGAGATTGGGGTACCCTCAAATCAGGGTGAAGGATAAAGATGTACCTAAGATGACATTCAAGAGTGGTATAGTCACTATGAGTACTTGGTATTGCCGTTTGGAATGACCAATGCGCCTACAGTGTTCATAGATTACATGAACAGAATCTTCCATGAGTTTTTGGATAAGTTTGTGGTGGTGTTCATTGATGACATCCTGATTTATTCAAAGAATCAGGAAAAGCATGCCGAGTACTTAAGGATTGTGTTGCAAATTTTGAAGGAGAGACAATTGTATGCAAAATTCTCCAAGTGTGAGTTCTGGCTGTCAGAGATCCAGTTTCTGGGCCATGTAGTATCGAAGGAAGGAATCATGGTAGACCCTGCAAAGGTGGAAGCAGTAGTTAGGTGGCAAAGGCCGAAGAATGTGACTGAGGTGTGTAGTTTTCTAGGACTAGCAGGCTATTATAGAAAGTTCATTGAGAGATTTTCTAAGATAGCTTTGCCCTTAACGAAGCTGACCAGCAAAGGAAGGGAGTTTAAGTGGACCAAGGGGTGTGAGACTAGTTTCCTAGAGTTGAAGATAAAGTTGACTTCAGCACCTGTGTTAATTTTGCCCGAACCAGAGCAGAAGTTTGATGTATACTGTGATGCGTCTAGACATGGACTCGGGTGTGTTCTAATACAAGATGGGCGAGTGGTTGCTTATGTCCGCATGAAGTCAACTATCCAATGCATGATTTGGAGTTAGCTGTGGTGGTTTTTGCTCTTAAGGTATAGAGGCACTACCTATATGGAGCGAGGTTTGAGGTGTTCAGTGACCACAAGAGTTTGAAGTATCTGTTTGATCAGAGGGAGCTGAACATGCGGCAGAGGAGATTAATGAAATTTCTCAAGAATTATGATTTCACATTGTCTTACCATCCTGGTGAAAGAGATGGAGTTGATTGAGGAATTTTGTGACATGAACTTGGCCGTGGATGTAAGGCCAAGAAGCTTGTATCTCGAAGTGACAACAATCCGTAATGACTTCTTGATGTATGTTCGAGATGCGCAGTAGAGAGATACTTTTCTGCAAGATATGATGAGGGAGAAGAATGAGGAAAAGAATTTGGAGTTCCATTGCGATGAGAACAGGGTGATCAAGTTTCAAAACCGAGTGAGCATTCCCCAAGTGGATGAGTTTAAGCAAATGATACTGGAGGAAGCACATAAGAGTAGAATAAGTTTCCACCTTGGTGCGACCAAGATGTATCAGAACCTCAGGAAGAGCTTTTGGTGGAACGAAATGAAAAGGGATGTGGATGAATATGTGGCTAGATGCCTAACCTACTAAAAGGCAAAGGTAAAGCACCAGCGTCCACCTAGGTTGTTGCAACCGTTGGAGATCCCTGAGTGGAAATGGGACAATATTTCTATGGACTTTGTTTCTGGGTTACTGAGGACCAGGAATAACCATGATGCCATCTGGGTGATAATAGATCGGTTGACCAATGCTTCACACTTTCTCTCAATCAACATAAAGTATAAGTTGGAGAGGCTTGCAGACTTATATGTAAGGGAGATAGTCAGGTTGCATGGGGTGCTGACTAGTGTGGTGTCCGATAGAGACCCGAGGTTTACCTCAAGGTTTTGGGAGAGCCTACAGAGGGCATTGGGAACTAAGTTAAGACTTAGTTCAGCTTATCACCCACAAACAGATGGTCAGACCGAGAGATATATCCAGTCCCTAGAGGACTTGTTAAGAGCTTGTGTGCTTGAGCAGCAGGAAACTTGGGAAGAATGCTTGCCGCTAGTAGAGTTCACATACAACAACAGTTATCACGCCAGCATTGGGATGACACCGTTCTAGGCTTTGTATGGGCGGAGGTGCAGAACTTCATTGTGTTGGTATGAAATTAGAGAGGCGACTCTGTGCGCACCGGATATGATCCAAAGGCAGAGTGTACAAATCAGAATGATCAAAGAGAAGATGAAGGCTGTCCAAGATCGACAGAAGAGCTACTATGATAAGATGAGGAAACCTTTAAAGTTCCAGGTGGGTGACTATGTATTTTTTAAGGTCTCACTTGTGACCGGAGTTGGGAGAGCTCTAAAATCTCAGAAGCTATCTCCTAAGTTCATTGGGCCATTCAAAGTGCTGAGTAGATTTGGTCCTACTACATACCGGATAGCGTTGCCTCTGAATCTCTCGAATCTACATCTAGTATCCATGTGTCCCAACTCAGGTAGTATGTGTCAGATCCTTCCCATACGATTGATCTTGACCTGGTTCAAGTTAGAGAAGACTTGTCTTATGACGTGTATCCAGTGAGGATAGCGGATCACTGTGTTAAATAGATGAGGGGTAAAGAGATCCCATTGGTGAAGATGATATGAAGCTCAAGTGATGAGAGAGATACCACGTGGGAAACAGAGAGCAGAATGAGAGAGATGTATCCAGGGTTATTTGTGTAATCTATGTGTTTGGTTGAATTTCGGGGACGAAAATCACTAAAGGAGAAAAGAGTTATAACGCTCCAAATTTTTGTAATATTGATTGTTGTTATAAGAGCATCTATGTCGATATATATATTTGTGTGTGTACTGAGAATGTTGGGTTGTGGCTGATGTGCTGATGAAAATTTGGTTAAGTGTCTGGTACAGGGTATTCTCGCTGTAGCGAGAAGGCCCTAGGAGGAAGGCGTGAAACTGTCACCTTATCGCTGTAGCGAGAGATGATAGCTTGGGGTGCAATTCTAGGAGCACTCTCGCTGTAGGGAGAAGGTCTCAATGTAACGAGATTCTGCAAAAATCAGAGTGCAATTTCTTTTGAGATTTTCGCCGTAGCGACAAGGGCCGTCCCTGCAGCGAGAGTGTCTCGCTGTAGCGAAAGTATCGCAATCAGAGGGGTATTTGAAAGGGTTAGGATTTGGAAAATTCATTTCTCATTCCTCTCTTCAAAATACCTTTGAATTTCTCAACCCAAAACCCTATTTCACCGATTAAATTACCTCCAAAGACATTCATGAGTTATATTGAAGGTTGGATTTGTGTTGGAAACGCTTGGAGGTGAGTTTTAATGGTTAGGGTTTTGGTTTCTCATCCCTATTCTCTTTTTTCTCAGTTTTCCTTTGTTCTCATGGGATTCTTCCATGTATTTAGGACTAAGTTTGTGTGGAAATCCTTTTCAAATTTGATTTTGTGTGTGGGTATTCAATCTGAAGTAAGGGAGGACTCTACCCTATCTCATTGTGTTTTAATTTCTGTTTATTTTGTTAAATATTGCAACGTGGCTGAGATAGAAGGTAGGAAATGTGTGTTAATGGAAATTATTATGTGTTTGATTGCAATGTGATGTGTGATGAGATGGTTGAACCCATTGAGGGTGAATGTGTGTTGTGATAGGCCGTTAATTAATGAGGATTCAATGTTTAAGAATGAATGTGGGCCTGAGTGCCATATGCAGATATGAGTATTGTGTGCAATTGAAATGTGTGTGAATGAGGCATGTTATATGCAGTTGTGAATATGCTATGAATGGTTAAGCAATACACTTAGATGTATAGAAGATGGGACAGTAGAAATATCTTGGGGAAGAGAGAGTGGTGGTAACACCAACAGTGAGTGTGGGTGCACCACAGGCCATACTTTCTTCTTGACTAGACCTCTGACCACTACTTTTGCTGAGCGACTCGTGACCGCCCACGTGGTATCCGTGAGGTGGGGGTGACCGACGTCATCCATGGTGTGAATATGTGATCACAGTGCCAAAGTGAACGTGGCTACGTGCAATGAGCGCACATGTATGAAAAATGTTTTGGTGCCGTGAGTGCGTCGGTTATGAATTGAAATGAAATGCTTAAAAGTGTTGCCTGTGATACTTGAGTAGAATATATTAGAATACGTGTGCGTGTGCAAGGTGAGTCTCTATGTTGTTTGTGTGATAGATAGTGTAGAGTACTTATTCTTACATTTGTTTTTCAGGTGACCAAGACGATTAGCACTGGGCTTAATGAAGGGATGGATGAAACTGGTATCGGACTAGGAATTTATTCGAACTCTGATGTAATTGAATTAGTCCTGTAGCATGATTTAATGCAAGTTGTAACCATCCTTATTTTGAAATATTTTACTGAACTATGTATGGGGAAAAACTATTTGAATGAAATTTTATTTTTCTCCCATTTTGTGAAATTTGATATTTGATGAAATTAAATTTAAAGCGTTACAACATGAGCATAGCAAATGATTTTAAGCCAAACCAATAGTCAGCATATGCATAAGTCCCATGCATCATGGTCTGGCATTGAATTGGAAATGTATAAGGTGGCTGTTTGTGAAGGAATGAAATTATTTATATTATATTGGTTAAGTTGATTTTTGAAAATCAATGGTTTATATAAGTTTATACTTTCTCCTATTTATTTCTTTCCTTCTTTTCAAATCCTAACTGCTTTTATGAGTATTTGAAAAGTCTCATCCCTCTTTTATTCTTGTTTTGGAAATCGTTGATGTTGTGTCCAGGGGCAGAGGTATACTCGAGGATTATAAGATGATTCTATTAGCAAGATTGCTACATCTAGAAACACAATTGTGTCAGTTGGATCATGGTTGCACAAGGGGATTCCCATACACGTATGGAATTCCATAGGTTAACTAGGGTTATTAGTGTCAATGGGTGAGTAATTCTTTGATGTTAGATTTTACCAAATTGGCATGATAGTAGTTAATGTAACACCCTCATTTTGTAATTTATTATAATTGCAATTAATATTAGTTGTTTGTGCATGTTATTTGAAATTAGAAGTGTTTAATTTATGTGAACTATAGGATATCTCGCTGTAGCGAGAATGAGGCAGTGAAAATGGAACATTCTGTAGTCCTCTCGCTGTAGCTAGAATCTCTCGCTGTAGCAAGGATGGTCTCGTTGTAGCAAAGAGCTCTCGTTGTAACTAGAATGACAGAGAGCAAAGGAAGAAAACTTCTGGTTTTTTCGCTGTAACGAGAACTTCTCGTTGTAGCGAGAAAGTCGCGAGTTTGAGAGATATTTAAAAAACTCTCAACCTAAAATCTTCATTTTAAACCAAATCACATATCCCTCTGCATTCTCTTCGTTCTCTCCCTCTCCTTTCTCAGAGAAAACCTCCAATAACTCTGGATCTTTTTCAGATTTGAGCTCAAACATCCGTTCTTCTCGGATCTAAGCAAGTTTCTCAGAGCTTAGATCTCTATTTTATCCCTTTTCTTGGGTTCTTTCCTCATGTTAAGATCTCTACCTCGAAATACTTAGGAAACCTTATCTTCTGGAAGATCTCTCTGTGGATACTGTGGAATCTCTCCGTAGATCACTCAGATAACTAGTTGGGAGGAACCGTTACCAAGTAAGAGGAGTATTTTCGAGCTTTAAGTTTGTATATACGTATTTAACGACCCTAGGAGGATGTAAATAACCTATTTTAGTAAAAACCTATGATTTTATGGTGAAAGGATATTTTGGGTAAAAGAAAGACTTTGAGTTCTTTAAAAGAAATGAAATCAGATTCTTAAAGAATGTATATGGATTAAGTAATAGAAGATATACAATAATGAACTCTAGGTTAGGAGACTACCTTGAGATGGTACGAGTTGGGTTGAGTCCGAAGGTGTCCGACCTTTGGCGCATTGTATTACATGTATGGTGTGACATTATGTGGTAGTCTCTATGATAAGTTTGATGTATTGTATTGGTTGCGTGATATGACTTTGTATGACCACTTTATATGTTGAACT